TGAAACTTTCGTTCCACAGTGCTCAAACGGTTTCAAATCGAATGCTGATAAACCTTTAAAAATTTGCTCTAATTTTTTAAGAAATTGACAAGGCACAACACATTTAAAATTTCTGTGGAAATTACTATAGGAAAAACAAACTATGTATTCATTGTTTTCTAGTCGTTTCCCATTTTGCACTGTAAAACAGTTCTATAGCTACTCTTATAGAAAATTTACTCAGCTACATCTTTGCATTAGATCGTTTTTCAGCCAAACGTCAAATTAAATAGTTATGAATTATTTAAGAGATTGATAATCTTATGGCATGATCAAGCAGCTGTTTTGTGGGCAACACTGTATTCTGCAGTGTGGCATAGTAGCCATGATTTTTGTGCTCTATTCTATGCGCCAGAAACACCAATGCTGCCTGCTGAACAATTGATTGAACAAAATCATAAGACATCCCAAGTAGCATTTCTTGTTTTATTGCACTCTATTAGTGGTTTTTGAGATCAATTTTATAAAACCGTCAATAAAATTAATAGCTCCAGCACAACCTTTTGATAACCGCTATAAGATCGTCTTCCAGCTTAGTGGACCACCCTTGATAAGGCTTATAAATCATGTTTGAGAATCACAATAAAGCTGTCTTAAAACCTTTTGTAAGAAAGCCCCATACTCTACAAAAGGTTCTCATACCCTCTTTAAGAGTAATATTGTATTCAAGCAGTTTTATTACGCTTTGGTAAAAATCAATTATAAATCCAGTTTAATTTTTATTGCTTCAAAGCAGCCGTCATAAATTAGCTTGTTGTTGTTCTGTTCTGCTGAAACTTTTTGTTTCTATATAGAAATCTTTAGCGGTAAAAATAGGTTTGAGTGTTGATGTCAAAATCACCATGCAATCAATTTTGTTTCATGGCGACATTAGTAAAAATCTTAAAGAAAATATATCTCTTTTTAGAAGTTCCAAAACATATGCGCTTGAAATTTTATCGTGTATATTGGGATAATATGAGCGTTAAATAAATGCATCTCCAAAATAATTCAAGTTAACAAAAACGATTGTTTCAGAAATCAAATGAATTTGATGGAATCATCTTAATTTTATGGAAAATAGATCTAAATAAATAAATTCATTCCAATGCACACTGGAAATCATTTCGGATCTCTAATTTAGCCATTATTTTATTGAAATTTCTTGGATTTTATTCCTAGGCTAATGGCATTTTCATAATGTCAATATGGCGACAGAGGATTTGACAGCAGGTAAGAAAAACACCAAGCGCAATTTCTTAAAATGTCTAATGCTTACATTGGATGAAAGCGGAACAGAAAAGCATAATGCATGATTTTATTTCGAGCACTATTTTCTTTTTACAAGAGCAATTCATTTTTTTTTATTTGAGGGCAAATGTATATTCCTGTACCCGTAGAACAACCGATGAATTTTACAAACATTTGGAAAAGTTTTGAATGGCACATTGACCTTTATGAAAAGTTATGCTTGATTTCAATTTTTTGTCCTAGAACTGTCACCCTTCCATGTATTTCGACCAAGCTTCGACAGTGTCACCCCATTATCATCCTCCGACTCAAGATAATTATATATTTCCTCTTCAGGAGTTATTTTTGGTGTAGCAGTGTGCTTCACAATGGTAAGGAGGCACACTCTTTACAGCTGCCTTTGTGACATCCGCAGAAAATGTAGCGGCATTTTTTTTCTTGGTTGGAGTTATTCACGAAGGTTGACTGTTGACTGTAACAAATAAACGGGCTCATGCCAACAATTTTGCTGATTTTCTTTGCGCTCCGCTTGGAAATACCGGATAGTTTTGATTCTTTTCTATGTTGTAAAAATAAACCGCCCATTTACACTTCTGATAAGTTGCAACTGAATGTTTACAATTGTTTTAAAATAACTGTTCCATTGCCAACTAGTTTTATTGCGCTTACTTATATAGCAATATAAGGATTTATTTTTGGGTTTTATAAGGGCAATTCATATCGTTTTTTTATACTTCTAGGCAATCATAAAACCTTTCGTAAGTGATAATAACATAAGCATCAGTTGGTTTTTTATAAGCTTTATAGGGGTTTTTTAGATAGTTATCAGAATGTTCCATGACTTGCATTGTATATGACCATTATAAAGCTGTAGGTAATGGTTGCAGCTGCAATAAATCCTTTATAAATTTTGAATATAGCCAAGCAGCTCTAGATTTGTTACTTGGGATTAGTGACTTGAATCATTAATAACTTTTGTTCCTTACATTTTATCGAAAAGTTTAAATAAGTTTTGAACAAAGTTGTAGCTAAGGAAATTTCCTACAAGCACAGTTATAATTTTCTATAGCAGAGTGGTATGGTGAATTGATAGATTAATATGAACAAAAAAGGGATTCCCCATAGTAATTTCCATATAAACTTCAAATGGTTTATGCCAAGTCAGTTTCTTACTAAATAAGTTCAAATTTTGGAAGGCTAATCAGGACCCGATTTGGAACCGTTTGAGCACTGTGGAGCGAAAATTTCAAATTGTTTCAAAAATTCAAATTTCTACACACTAAGATTTTTTTACAGGAGTCAGTATTTTTTACTGGGTTTTTGAATTGCTGAAAAAGTCGGTAAAAATTCAAATGAGCGTTATCCGTACGGAATCAATGTAATCGACCAATTTTATTTTCTATCATTAAATGGGATTAGCAGAACTAAGTATGTATAGGTTCAGAACAAATTTTCTCATTAATAAATTTTCCACAAATTTTTAAACTTTTACCGAACAGTTCCGCAATTCAAAAACTCGGTAAAACCGTACTGACTCGATTAGTGTGTAGTAAAAGATTTTCCATTGTTATTACCACGATAACTTTTTTTTTTTTTTCCTTCGGTTTGTTTTTTCCGTCGATCTTGTTTTCCGTGCTGAGCACCAATGCTACCGACGTGCCAGAAAGGCAGCTCCCACACCTGGACCCTACCTGTCGACCCATCAACTCATGAACCGGGGACCAACGGCTTTACTTCCCATCCGAAGGAAGGCGTGATCAGAGATGTTATGCCTCAGAACATCCCGGCGGCGCCGACTGGGATTGAACCCAGGCCTGCTGGGGTGAGAGGTAATCACGCTTACTACTACACCACCGGCGCCGTTGCCACGATAACTTACAGAGTAAATTTTTACAATTTATTTTGGTGTCATTAGAAGAAACGTGTTTGAATTCTTATGCTACAGATTTCCGAATGCAAATGTACAACAGTTTGACACAGGATTTAATCAACGAACTAAAAAAAATCATGACATAATTGTTCCAGTGATAAATTAAAGATGTATGTCTGCTTTTTGTGATAACCAGGTACACACGATTAATCAGGACACCGTAGATCACCTTGTTTAGTCTGTAAAACTTAAAGATCTGATTCCATACTTTTCATGCCAAAGTCATGAGTTCAAATCTCAACCGGATAAGTCAATGATCCAAGAGTGTTAAAGTGACTTTAATAAAAAAATAAAGATCTGAACTCCAAACATTTTTGAAAATTTAATAAATCAAACCAATGATATTATGGGGCTTCACGAAGGTTTACCCATTCTATCATTAAGTCGAACCATCATATTCGTTGTTGAGTATACAGAACTTCAAGATCAGATATCCGGGATAAGTAAGTTAATCCAACAATGTTAGTTTTAAACACAATTAATTATTAATTACGTTTAAAAGATGTTATGAGTCTCCGTGATGTAGAAGATACTCCAAAAATCTGAGTGTTTATAGAGCAGGATTTCGATTAACCTTTAAAATATCTCCAGGAAAATTTGGAGAATGACAAATATTTTGGTAATACAGATTTATATCTTAAAAAGATGGAATTTGACTTATGTGTGAAAATTATCAATTCTGAGTTTCTCCTGCTCAGGTGTTTTGTATTGCTATATGCTTTTTCCGATATACCAGAAAAATAGCTTGACAAAAGGCGTAACATTGTGTGCCACGATGTGAATCATATCATCGCGTGTAGCTCTCTCGCATACATTTTTTTGCTTTTACTGATATGTTGTTGGCACTTTTACGATATTATGCAGTTTTAAGCACTTAAACCACAAATTAATTTTCCGATTTTAAATTTGTGTCATAATTTATATAATTTCAATATGAGCTGAAGAGCTGTTGAAAAGTATCGACTCCCTTTAGTGAGCTGGATGGATTTGATCCACTCAGCCAGATGAGCTGTTTTGCCCACCTCTAATTTGAACGCTAAAAAGTTAGAAAAATAAGTATGACCGGCTACCCCGTATAAGTAAGTATGAGAGCCACCCCACTGTGCATCAAGATCTTAACTCCGATGATATTTCCGGAGAACTTCGAGATTTGGGCGTAATTGCTACTGTAAACAAATATGTCAATCGCTGATTTCTTGTGAATAAAAGCTCAATCTCGCGAAAAAAAACTATTCCAAATGACAGAGGAATCATTCCTCTACATAAGTGTGTTGTTAGTTTTCTAGGCTCAGTTTTTATTCTCGAAAAATCGGTGATTGATGTTTTTGTTTACAGAAGCAATTACGCCCAAATCTCAAATCACTCCGGATTTTTGAGAAGGCTTAGACACACTATAATCTAAGAGAACGAGGAGACAACTGGCTTCTAACTCTTTTATATCTATCTCTATCTATATCTATCTATATCTTACGCACTTCAAATCGGCCAATCACGAGCTGGTTTGCGTTTGATAGAAAAGTGGTTCGTTTTCGCCCCCGAATTGTCTCCTCTTCCTCTTATATTATAATAGCAAACATGCCAACCATATCAACAAATATCATTGGTCACCTCCTTGTAAGAAGATTCCCCACAGTGCATTGTATGTTTATGAAACTTTTTAAAGTAGATCGCAATCAACGAAAGTTTGAAAACTGCTGCATTAATCAACTAATAATAGAACTGTGAAGCTAATTTTGGCGACAACACTCTACTGATGAAACCGTGACGATAACATAACACTTGAAAAAGTTATTCAATTTAACGCACCACTCATCTGCTCCCAACAACGCCATTACAGCAACAGCTTTATTAACATTTATGGTGAGACGCATCACCCAGCACAGAGCAGCACACGATACGATGCCGCATTTCTAACGGTTTTACATGTGTCACATTATAACCGTTGGCATCTGATGGTCCATATGCTGGTAAAGCACCTACTCGATTTTGTTCAGCGCAAAGCAGCTTCCACTGTCATTTTATGCCGCAGTAGGTAATCAACAGTGGGATATTCTCACGCCAAACCAAACTGCCATCGTATAAGCTTTGTAATTAGGCAGCATCCAAATGTTGGGTACATTCCCCATGGAGAAATACATTTTGAACTAGCTGCATCAGTAAAGCAAACAAACAGCACGTTCCACTGCACGTGTGTCACTTAATTCGAGCTTGAAAAGTTTATAATTTAGTTCAAATAGAATCAGCCTGCAATGGAAACGAGTATACTGGGATTAATTGAATTATAAATTTAACCGGCAAAACTGCGATAGTGAAAATCGAACACTTCAATGCGAATGAAATAATCTAGCAACGCTTGCCACCGGTCTTCAACGGCCGCATGTGTCAGTTGTTGTTTTTTTCGTCCCGTTTCCTTCCCCCTTCATCAGCTCCTAACCGGTGGCAACTATACCAATTGGTTCAGATAGCGCGTTCCGACACACACTCAAACAGTACGCGTGTACGTCGAGGTTTCATACAGCGCATGCTACCAACACAGCTGAACCGTGCTATACGAGAGAGGGTCGTTTTTGTTTTCGCTCTCCGTCCGTTCGGCAGTGACGATCGATAGGTAGGTGATGTGCCAGCTTGAAAGCAGTGACGCGTTGGCTCTACGGCTGTGAAAAAAGAGGAAAATAAATTTGTGTTTCTGATTAGAGGAAGAATATTCTCGGCAACGAAATGGATCTGTTTAAGGTGAGTAATTGATCAAAGTTGATTAGATAGGCAATTACTGTTCTAAAGTGCATTTGCTTAGCCATTTATTGCAAGTGAAAAGTTTGCTTCAGATGAAGGGATGTGCTGTGTGTCAGACAAAACATTGAGCGCATCCAGTGTTGCCAGTTTTCCAGATGTAATAAATTTTCTTTTGAAAAAGTTTTCGATTTAATGTTGATGGTTTTCAATTGTATTTTTCATTGCATTGTTATAGCTTTGCAGTTAATTCTAGTTCAATCTAAAAACAGAAGAACCAATAAAGATAAGTAGCCGTTAATGTAAATGATGTTTGAAAATATAATAAATGTGAATTCTGGTTAGCTTTGTTAGAATCATTCACTTAAAGCTACTGTGTTACTCGACTCACAACAAAATTTATTATATTTAATGTACGTTGTATCCGCAGTATCGTATACCTCTGGTTATGCTGAGGTAAATTATACGAGATATTCGATCCCGCGGATACAACGTATATTCGTTATGAGTCCGGTAACACAATAGAAGCGGTGTATTTTGATGTTGGTAGATATTTTTTTTTTCAATTTGATTAAAACGGTAAATTCATAAACGGCTTTGCGTCAAGCTCAGAATAAAAGTTTCGAAAGTTTTGTGAGGTTTCGTATGGTAAAACATACTTTGTATGTACTCATAAAAGATGAGTTGTGATAATCTTTCAACAGAAAATCATTTACGAATAAAACATATTATTAACATACAATATACATACAAATGTTATCGCTAATTTTGCCAGTACAATTAAATTTAACACATGTTTATCGAACATAACATATTGGACATTCAAAAAAATTCAATACGTTGTTAGGTACCTCACCTTAAAAATAATATTAAAATCCTCGAACAATTCCTACTGACTCATAACGAATAAATGTTGTATCCGTGGGAACATGAACTCATCTGATTTTGCATTGCAAATGCTATGTTAAATTTGACGAAGTATACGTTCTACTCGAGGTACTGCGGATACAAAGTATATTCGTTATGAGACAGGTAATACAGTATGCTTGTGTATGTTTCTATTGTATGATTTATATACCGGAGAAATACTTCGGCGATTTATTTCAATCGCAAAATTATTTGTTTGCGTGTGCAGCCATTTGATGGCCGCCAGAGACAGTATAATGTACCTGCCATAACAAATGAAATCTTAAAACTAAATCTAATCTCATTTTAAAGGGAATTAATCGTTGCAACGTTTTTTGCCAGAAATTTTTAATTATTTTGGTGGACATTTGTTCTAAAGTCTCAACATTCGAATTTTTATGTACCTTGGTAGTACTGTACCAGGGAGGCAACTTCAAAATCATCTTCAGAACTTTGTTCTGAATCCTCTGCAGTGCTGTTTTCCTGGTAGTGCAACAACTAGATCATATTGGCCCAGCGTAAAGCATGGCCGGTCTAAAAACTTGTTCGAAGTTTATTCGTCAGGCAAAGTTTGGATTTCCTATTTATAAGAGGATACAAACATTTTATATATTTGCTACATTTGGCTTGAATGCCGTCAATGTTATCTATAAAAGTTAATTTTTGGTCAAGTATTAATCCAAGATATTTCAATTGGTTTGACCAGGAAATTGGAACTCCGTTCATAGTGACTATGTGACTACTACTTGGTTTAAAAAAGGAAGCTCTAGGCTGGTGGAAATATTATATTGGAAAGTAGAGTTTTGGAAGTGTTGGGATTGGTTTGTATCTGATTTTGCACTGCAATCCTGGTTCGTTTTAATATCCTGTCCCTCCCCGACTTTTTCATCTATTATTCTATTTCTCGTTTAAATTTTTTTTTCGACCTTCGAACTCTAAACGAAGTACATTTTGAATAGGCATGGCATCTCCAAGTGTTCACAATTGTTTTTCTCAAAATTCCAATACATCTTAACTTGTTTCCTTTCCTTTTTATGAACTTGCATACCAGCTTTGATGTGAGTAGGGGAACTAGGAGCATTATGAACACCCGGGGCAGACTGGGCACCCCCTATATTTTCCAAATTATTAACATTTTTTTCAATTTAGATGCAAAAGATATTTAATTCCTCTTGTGAATGAGTAATTTAACGAGTGAACTAATTTCAATGTGTTCCTAATCACCGTAAATTCTCGAAAAAACCATAGGCTTGCTGTTTGCTGAAAAAATGTAATCCTCACTTATCACCAAATAAGGTGTAGCCAGCAGATGACGGTAATTGGGCTGCAATTATCGTTTGTTGTGCAATATTCAATTGTTTTTGTTGTTCCCACACATCGTTGATTAATTTTCGGTAGGTACATTAAAATAATCAAGAACTAACCATAGCATTCTTCCGTTAGGGTAGACTTAAAGGTGTCCATACTGCCCGCTAGCGTTACGATGTCCGGAAAGGTTAAAGTTATTTTTTAAATTTGCTTCAATTTGAACTGTTGCTAAATTAGTGACTAAAGTGTGTAGTAAATAACACAGCGATATTTTGATTCCTATCATGTCAAACTTGGCAAAATCCTTTGGGTGTCCATAATGCGCCCTACTCCCAGATAAATCAGTCGGTACTCACTATTCATTGCTTTAATTATTACTGTAACAGCACATTAAACAGCTGAATCACAAAAAAAACATAATGAAGTTTTATTTAAGCATTCCGCTAACAACCCAATTTAATTTCTCATTATGATGGCTACTAAGCCTTTGGGATTTTTCCTTATTAGATAGTTCTAAAGAAGTGTCTCCTTTACTTTACTCAGATCTTTGGTTTTTTTTAGTCATGTAGGTACCAATTCCACACATTTTAGTTTCATGTTTATACCTGTGATCTTAACATTTTTGCCTAGGGGATGAGTACTTAAGGGGGTTAGATTATGATAATTTCTTTAGTGGGAATGACACTGATGAAAACTGCACATTGTAGTCGAAATACATATCTGTCATAGATACCAAATTTAATTAAGGGTAAATGGAAGACATCATATTTTGCTATTTTATAAAAACATAATATTTTCTGTAACGGTTGGTGCTTACTGATTAATCTGATATAAATTGATTCCAAACTTTAATTAATTCATTTCTAATTAAGGTCGAATGGACGCAGTTTTAAAAATTCACGGTACTATAAATGTACAATTAAATTGAAGGTTATCCATATAGTTTATATCACGATTACAGTCTCACCCATAAACTGCATCTTTTTTTTTATCCTGGGTACCCATAAAATATTTCAACATTAATTTGAAGATTATTTTCAAATGTAAATTTTGCATTTTGGGCCACTAGTGCCTTCCGTAATAAAAAAATACCATAAACTAACAATAACCCAAATGATTGAAATATTGCACAAATGTTTTGGCTGATACCCCGAACACGTCATTAAGCAAATTAACCATACCATTTTTATTAGAGTTTATATGTTATATGTTGGTAGTGGCTTAATGGAGTATTAACATAAGGTTATTACGAAGCGGTCGGGGTTGAACATTCAGGTCAATTTGCCTCAGGATAGCCTCGCAATCTGTCCTTCCTTGCAGGATATCGACCACGGTTAGGGCTCTGCTTGTGTCTCTTCTAGTCCGGAGAAGTTCTAGGTCGATAAGTTGACAACGGCTTTCTTAACTGGGTAATCGAAACGGATTATTCCAAGGGGAATCGAAATGTGCTTTGCTTCTGTACGGACGCGAGAAATTTCCGAGTGTAAAATTTACGGTTTTATTTTTTCTTGGCGTTTTCTAATTTTAGTGCAAGAAAGTGAAAGTGAGCGGTTGGAAATGCATTCCAAATTGTTTTCGTGTATAATAATCGATGATTCTGATTGGAAGCAGGTGCAAGAGCTTCTTTGAAGATCCGATGGAATGTTATGAAATGTTTAGCTAGAATTAAGAGATGCATCAATCTTTCAAGTATTGGCTTCACGTGCAAACCATCGTTCATTTGGTGAGTTCATTCCAGTTTATTTGTTTCTTGTTTCGATACCATCGATCAGTTTTTTACAATTTTGTATTGAACATCTTTTCGAAGAGCCACGTTCATGCTGTAATTTGTCGAGCGCACAATTTGCACACGTTGATATCGAGTAGGAACGGCAAGAGAGTCATCCAAGTGCTTTTGTTTCTGGTTTTAGACGTTTGATGTCTTCAGTGATGTTTTTGTACTTTAAAGTTCCCTTTTGGGTCTGAAGAGTTTTTGTTGAGCACGCTGAGGCTGAAATTGCATACCCCCTCCCCATGGACATGGAGGTTGACGGTACTGAAGCAAAGGGTTATGTTTAATTTCTTTATATTTGCAACGATGATGATTTCCTATAGTGACACATATCACCTTCTTAATGCTTCAGTATGCCTTAAACGATTAATTCTTGGTTGTTAATAGAACTTCCTTGATGAAATCGGCTGCTTCATGCAGACTGGGCAATTCTGATTGTAGTATCAGATTTGTTCTGTATACAGAAGAACTGGGAGGGCTAATTAGAAACTTCTCACCAATATAGTAAAGATCTTCTAGTAAAGTTTGCATATAATTTTATTAATATTTTGTTTTATTTGAGAATATTATTTTTGTTACAGTCAATTAGCATTAGCATACGATACAAGAGATTAAATATTACTTGCTCGTTTTTGCGTAAAATAATTAATATTTATTTTACTTGTAATTATATGTGAAAGTTTTTTTTTTTAGTAGTCACGTTTTGTTTGTAGTTTATATTTTATTTCTTTCATGTGATCATCGTAAATAATAGTTATTCTATAATAGATCGTTCATCCATATATTCGTACTTTGACGCGAAGCGCTGTGGATTATGAGATGCTTGATGACCCTGGAGGGATCGATTTTTCTTACTGAGCAAAAAATCATGGATTTAACCCCAAGTTCTTCCACAGCACAATAAATCGCCACCATCATTTGTATATTTGATATTGAAAATTGACCTCGGAAACTATTTGCATATCAAGCGAAAACGTAGTCCTGTATTGTAGCGAAGCGTTATGGTTCTGAGATGCTCGATGACCCTGGAGGGATCGTTTTTGCTTACTGAGCAGAAAATCATGGGTTTAATCCCAAGCTCTCCGTCATGACTCTTAAAATTCATGATCACTAACAAAATGAATATGTTCTTTCGATAGCCGGCTATCGAGACATTCAATAAACAACAAATAAACAATACATACTTTTGGTTGCATCGCCAACTTGAGGTGAATCCTAACCGAATACCCTACCCAACCCTCCAACTCCGTAGCACTTATGAGGGTGTCGCTAAGTCGGTGGCCTCTCGTTAAGTAAGTACTACATCAACATTTCCTTCCCTATGCCTAGTTATGGTAAAGATGGGCATGGCCGGGAATAGCGACAGTCATGCTTCTGTTACTCTTGTTTAGATTGGAACCAATGTTTACTCCCCAGCATTATTCCTGAAAGTAGTCTAACTGAGAATTTCAGAAGCGACGTGAGTGTCGTTAGTATCCAATCTACGAAGTATATCATAACAACGCTAACGCTAACGCCATATGTTGGTAGTGGTCTAATGATTTAATACAATAGATCCAAAGTTTTTTGTATTGTTTCAATATATCCAATGCATAACAATTTCAAAATAGATTGCTCAGATCTTCAGATTTTTTTCTGAAATCTCCACTTCTTTACTAATTCGAAAGGCACGCACTTGTCTTCTTAACTGCGTCGGTTTAAAAGAACGAAGTCTTGAACAAAGTAATTTAATAATTAAACAATGATTGAGAGGTTAATGTAATTAAACTTAATATTGTGTAATTAATTTATTGCTGTTTTAATTACTGTAACGAAAACCCGTTCTTGAATCCAGTTGTGAAATTAATATAATTTAAATGGTAATTGGTATAATTAAAAGTGTCCTTAAACGACTTAACTCCTTTTTAAATAATATTATATTATTTTTCTTCAATTCCACGGCACATTGAATGAACCAGTTTATTGAAAAATGCATAAATTTAGTAACAACATAAAAGAAAGTTTATGAAGCAGGGTATGAAGCCACTTATCAATCTAATAATTTCGTGAATCCTTCAATATTGCTTTTAAAAACATTTAAATAATGCTAGTAATAATGCAGAACACAGGGCTGGTAGCAGGTCACTTTTTAATGACTTGGTCAGGTACAAATCAGGCAGTTGTTTACGTCAGATGGGACCTTCGTACCTTCCTCAAAATTGTTCTTTGTTTGCTTTCTACTCTCTATACACAAATTTCACACTATAACGGAACTATCAACTCTTTACTTTCATCTCCTCATCTATCGTATAAAATGTCGACTTTAATCCGGATATTTAATGTTAAGCATTTCCAACTACGAAAATAATCTATTTCCAATCATTTTGGTGATTGTTCTGCAAAGTCTTTCAAGAATGCAATATTATTTTTGTAAAAGCTTATTTGCTTCAAAGTTTAAGATAAGGAGAATTATTCTGAAAAAAAAGTTCTTAGCGAATTATCACAGTTATCTACCTAGATATATCAAAATTTTAAAGATTTCGAACGCAGAATCAAATTCAAGATCATAAAAAATGGGAATTACTATTTGCTAGTCATCATGTATAACTTAAGCAAAAGTAAATTATTCAAATCACTTCAAATGCTCTTCACATGAGATTCCGTTGTGAGATTCGATTGAATTATAGGAATTTATTAAATTTGATTTTAAGTTCCATTATCAAAAATTTATTTCAATATCAAATTTCTAAGTTACCATATAAATGGTTACTTATTTAGTATTTACAAGTCACTATTTGGTCACTATTTCCGCAATTTCAGTCACTAAAGTCACTACTATTATATCGTATCAGCACTACCAGCCCTTCAGGTTTAAGTTTTTATTGGAGATCGAAGTAGGCCGCGCTGTAAAAATAACGTGTTTTGTTTTGCTTTGTCGTTTCTGCTCTTGCAAAAATTTAATAATTACAATTTTGATCTAGAAAAAGTTAAATTGAAAGCACAGAAGTGGTATTAGAAGTGTTTCAAGTGATAATTATCAAATTCCACGTGTCCCTAGTGTTCGTAGCAGTGATCAGTTATATGAGCTGAATATAAAATCAAATTCTTGCTGTTCCGTGGTATGAGCTTTAGGGTCAGACCACTTTTACGGATGTTTCGGTTGTTTTAGTGGACCACCTCGTGGTTCCCAGTGACCAAATTCTCCAAATGAATTATGAAAAGATATCTATCAATGGTTTCAAAAAATCCATTGATCAGTTTAGGATCAGTTTCATGAATTAATTACTTTTATGGATGTTCCGGATCTTTCGGTCGACCATTACTTGGTTCATTTTCAGATCACAACTCGGAATTCATTCTGATAAAAAGTTTATGAGTAGTTTAAAAAAAAACAGAGCTCTAGGATCAGTTTCTTGATTTGACCACTTTTACGGATGTTCCGGATCTATCGGGGAACCATCACGTGTTCGCAAGGGTTTATATTCCGGTCACAACTCAGAATTGATTCTGATAAGGCGTCTAAGAGTGGTTTCAAAAAATCCGCGAAACTATAGGATCAGTTTCTTGAATTGACCACTTTTACGGATCTACCGATGAACCATCCCGTGGCTCCGTGGTTCATATTCCAGTCACAACTAAGAATTAATTCTGACGTCTATGAATGGTTTCGAAAAAAAAAACACAAAAACATTTCCCACTTTTACGAATATTCCAGATCTTTCGAGCTACCATTATGTGGTCCCCAGGGTCCATATTCCGATCGCAGCACTGAATTTATTCTGATAAAACAGCAATGAGTGGTTTTGAAAAAAAAAAACGCGGAGCTCATGGATGAGTTTTATCAATTTTCCACTTTTACGGATGTTCCGGTTTTTCTAGTGGAGCATTCCATGGTCTCTAGCATCCATATTCCGGTCACAACTCTGAATTCATTCTAAAAAAGACGTCTATGAGCCTGGGGCCTCCCTTAGCTCAGTTGGTAAAGGCGCAGCCACAAAGCAAGACCATGCTGGAGGTGGCTGGGTTCAATTCCCGGTCCGGTCTAGGAATTTTTCGGGTTTGATAATTTCTCGACTTCCTTGGGCATAGAAGTATGATTGGACTTGCTACACAATTATACCAAATGCAGAAATGGTACAGGTATCGAAAGCTCTCAATTAATTACTGTGGAAGTGCATCTAGAACACTAAGTTAAGAGCACCCAATAAGCTAATATGCGATATGCAATAAGCTTGAAATGCGAAGAAGAAGAAGAAGAAGTATAAGACGTTTATGAGTGGATTCGAAAATAAACCGCGGAGCTTAAATATCAGCTTCATGAATCGACCACTTTTACGGATGTTCCAGATCTTTCGGAGGACCATCCTGTAGTCCCCAGAGTCCAAATTCCGGTTATAACCCGAAATTAATTATAGTAAGATTTCTATGAGCGCTTGTTCAATCATTCATTTCCAAAGTATTGCAGGAGTCGCAAAGATTTAAAAAAAATTGTTTTTCTTCGCCTAGAGATTTGTAGAGTGGTTTTTTTTTCTTCTATTCCATGTCTTCAACTGTTTGAAATAGTGTAGTGAACATATACAGTGAAAATATTTTGCAGAAGAAATTATGGTGTTACGTGTTACGTGTCTCAAGCTTTTGGGAACCTGGAATCTGGATTGACAGTGATAATTGAAATATTTTACTTAAAACTTTTATCAAAGTTCTATGTAAAACCATGCCAAAGGCATAATGGGCATAAAGTAATTAAAATACGTTGTAATTAATGGTGGAAACTATTGGAGTTCATGTACTTTAATTATATTGAGTGTTATTAACGTACATCCTTTAGATATAGACGCAAATCCCGTTTTTATTTATTTTTAAATCTCCCGAGCCGAACACTATGTAAAGTTAAAATATGTACTTAAAAGTAATTATACAAATAAACCATCAACGGTTGTAGTTAAAGTAATATAATGTAATTAATTAAAAAACTTTTCTGCTCAGCAATGCAATTCATAGATTTGTTCACTATTTTTTTGCTTTTATTTCCAAAAATGAACGATTTGTAAGTTCCATTTGAGATAAGCTTATAATAGCAAAAATCAATGGAAGATCTTCTTTTTGTGTACTCTGATAAATTTCATTATAACAGCGAAACAAACCTGATTGGAATTTAATCCAAGGATAATATTATGACTTATGATGTGTAAACAGGTTTGCAGTTAACCTAATCATCATTTCTATTTGTAATAAATGCTTTGCAGATGTACATTTTATATCGCCATTCCATATGTGATTGAAATACTCTAATGCCAACAGATTTTAATGCTTTTTCTTCTGTACTTTTACTGTTTAGCCGAACCTTCCAATAAAAGTGAGACAGCGTCGGTCTTTCTCGTTGGCCGAAAAGATGACAATATTGGACCGCTTATCAAAGGGTTTAAGTGCAACAAAAATTGCTCGGGAATACAACGTCAACGAGTCCACGATTCGACACATGCGTAAGCAAGAAGCAACAATTCGCATGGCAGCACATTCTATGACCTCTAAAATTGCTTCCGGTTCGAAACGAAATCGAAATCTTCAGATGTCAAAGATGGAAGCCTGCCTAAACATATGGTTGGATGACATGCGAGCCAAACGACTGCCTATTTCACACATCAAAGTTAAATCCAAAGCATTGAAACTGTATGAACTAATCGGCAAACACGAACTGTACGAACACATAGGATTTTCAGCCAGTAATGGGTGGTTTGAGAGGTTTAAAAGGAAATTTGAGCTCTACGAATTGAGACCACAAGACGACCGTGCCCCATCTAATGAAATTGAGTTCAGAATCACCACAAAAGGTGCGATTGCCGAAGGAAACATTTCTAACGATCAAATATTTACAGTTGACAACACAGTTTTCAGTTGGAAACGTTTGCCTCAGATGGAGGGTGAATATAACGTAACCATGCTATTTTGCTGCAATGCAACTGGAAACTTCATCACACCACCAGTTCTGTACAGCAACGAAGCATCCGAACCCACGTCTCGATCAGTATTCGTCCAATTGGACAGACCCGGATCAATCAGTACGCAAAATGTGCGAAATTGGTTCTATACTTTCTTCGTACCTAAAGCTGAGAATTACCTTAGCGAATCAAACCTATCGGATAGAGCTATTGTACTGCTAGCTCACGACCAAAATTATCCCAAAGATTTAGTACATCATTCTTTCGATATTGCCGTTTTTCCAGCCGACTGCAATTCGTCCTGCTTGCCCACAGGTCAAGGTATTCTCACTCATTTTAACGCAGTCTATCTGAAACGGTTGAGCTTAAAATTGAAGGATCTTGTGCAGTGTGGTAAAACCTTGCAGGAAGCTTGGGATCTTTTCTCAATAGACGATGCAACGGAAATTCTTGAAACTATGATCACTCAACTTGACTCACGTGCTATGAGGAATGGCTGGGCTCGTTTATTGGACGGCACAGTGGAAGATCATTCAAATGACGAAATTGTGCAGGATACAGTCGACATCCTTCACTCCATAGGTTTGGAAAGTGTAACGGTTGAAGCTTTGCACAATCAAATCACACCTCAGGAATTATCGAATGAAGAAGTTATTGAAATTTACTTTCATCATCAGAAGGAATTGGATCAATCGAACCTGTTCAGCTTCGGTCAACCACCATCAGTTGAGAAACTTCCTGCAGAGGAATATATGGATCCTGATTTGAGAAATACACTGCTCATAGAAATCAATCATCATATGTTGGCGCTGAAAAATGCACAGAAATTTTTTGAAGAAAATGACAAAAATAAAGCACGATCTGAAGCCATTACAAAACGACTGAAACAGGTGCACATATGGATGCGAGAGATGAAAAACGAAGTACATCCTCCTGACCCTGTGGAAATAGATCCCATCGATATCAAAATTGAACCAGTAGAATTTTCCGTGGAAATGATAGATAGTGATTGAAGATTTGAAATACATTTGGTTAGAAACAAAAAAACTGAATGATTTTTTTCCTGGATTGAAAAGAACTTGTATCACCTGGTCCACTGGTTATTGACGCGCGTTGTAAAAAATTACCATGACACTTGATATTCTGCAAAATAAAGTATTGGTCAATTGGGCATGGGTATTAAATTTCATGAAACATGTTGAGTTTTACGTTTATTTATTTATTTATTTCGTCTAGTTAAAAAGGACTACATACAATGGTTACAATGTTTTACTTACATTAGGCCTGCCCAATGTTAAACCCACGGGCGAGCCTACAACGAGTTTAGAACAATTCTTTGCATCCTGCTGGCCCGCGGGTTGTTCTCGTTCATCTTTATCAGACGAGACCTTTGAATCATGTTTGCAGAACTCGGTAAAAGCTTCTTAGAATATGCAACGAGTATTGGACCGCAACTTAGTATTCTAGAAGCACTGCCACAGTTATTAATTGAGAGCTTCCGATACCTATATTTTTTGTTAATTTTTTGCATGATTAATTTGACGCAGACCAAGATATGAAATTTGAATCCCCTGATATAGGGTAGAGCGCTACTTCGTCGTTATCGCTGATTTTCGTTCTATCGATCAGAAAAGATCAATAATATCAATTATTTCGCCGTGCACAAATCAATAATAGTTTTGTTCCGATGTATTAGTTCCTAAGCTACAACAAAAATCCTATTAAAGCGCATTGTATGAATATTTACGCTCATTGTTCTCAAAACAAAAGAAGCGCTCCTAGCGTATCCCCTTTTTCTACATTCGTATGACAGAGAAAATCTAATGGCGTTTCAATGCGTTTGCACGGAATTGAAACTCGTAGGACGAATTTAGAATCAAGAACCAGTATTAGATTTTAAACAATATCTCAATAATTTGTGAATCTTTATCAAATCCAACGGTTCGTATGGAAAGGTGAATAAATTTAGAAGTCATCTTTGGCAGAAACATTACATATGTTGTTCAAACCCTTTCAAAAAAGAGAGGTAAAACGCGGGTTGTGCTTAGAAGGACGGAAATTCAGATAAACGTGGTAGATAATAAGTCCAACCTACCGCATTGATTCGGATATTTCTAACTAATCGATCTGATTTCTGATTTCCATGATTTCTGAATTTCCCCTCTTCTTTTTTGATTCAAGCGATGCTACGGAGCCAAGGTCTTAAGTTTGACTTAGTTAAACAAAATGCAATATTCTAGGTCAGTGGCTCCCAACCTTTTTCGAGTACTCCTTGACAAAAAAAGAAAACATCGAAAGTGGAATCATCTAATTTTCAACGACTTTTTTTTATAACGAACATACTTATCAATGAAAACGGGTTTATTAAAAAACACATAACATTCAACATAAACGATCGTAAATGTTTTATTTTTTTTGAAGTAGGACAACGTCTTTGATTTATATATGGGGGTACACTTTGTGAAAACCGAAAATGGAACATGTAACAAATTAAGAAAGATTTTGAACGCTAATAACTCAGCTGCCCCTGGTCCAATTTCAATAACTTTATCACCAATCGATCAGAAATATGGCTACGCATCGATAATAATGCTTTCGAATGTTGAGTTTCAACAAGAAACTATTGAAAAACTGGTAAATGTCCAGCCATGTCCAAAAGCGTCGAATTAACTAACAAATCCACCAATTACCTACATGCATATGCTGCTTCCCCAGCACAGTCGTCAGAGAGTAGTAAGTAGACGAAACAAGTCGAAGTGGCATTCGCCTCCGATCCTCGGGCGCGTGCGAATAGGGAGGTTGGAATTGCGTAATATTTTGCACACTCATCGCCATACTCAGAACCACACGCTCCCAACGACCACACCACTGTTTTTTGGTGTTCGGTCGTCGAAATTAGTAGCAGCAGTAGCAGCAGTAGCAGCAGTAGCAGTGCTTTCGGCGTGTGGCGTTGAAAATTGTTCTCCAGTAACAACGAAAGGCTGCCTGTAAGCAGCGAGCTGCAGAGTGCACATAAGCAACCATCAAAGGAGGATGAAGCTGCACCGCTATGCTATGGATCGGAATCAGTAGCTCTTCGTGAGTCGCTGCGGGTCGGTCATCTATGCCAAACGACATACAGCTCGACAGCCTCATCCGTGTTGAACACCCAGTTCAGAATTACTCAACCATCACTACAAAACGGTCCTTTTCAGGGACACCAAACATTTGTTAGAGTATTATTTGGACATTGGTCAAGGTCATCAGTTCTTGCAAGTAGCTAGCTATCAAGGCGCAACCTGTCTATAGAAGGTGTGGAATTGTAGGCCTGAATATATTGGTGAAATTAGTTTTTCCTCGGCTTTCATTCCACACGATTCGTTTCTTTCGTTAAATCAATCACCCTTGTAAAAAGATTGTTTCAATCGGCGCTTGCATATGAAATTTAATGTGGATTATAGAATTTTTTTATGTTACCAAAATGTATGAATGGTTTGCCACTAAATGTTGAGATAATTTAATGATTATTGAATTATCACATTGTATACCATGAAAAAGTTTGTGAGTTTTTGCCTGTTTTCAAAAAAGGAGTTATCTTAAAAAACAAATTGCCAGCGGGTATTTCCCGGCGACTTTACAAATAAATAAAATCAAACAAAATCATCATGCAGAACTACAAAACCAGGATTTGTTTACTTCATATTTCAAAAAATTGCTTTCGAGTGTTAAGCCATCGTCTTCCGCAAATTTTAAATTTTTCCCTCTACCAATACATACATCAGGGCTAGATAAATCTCCACAGGATCTATAGAATCCACGCAATTTAAAAAAAAAACAAAATGCACAGCATTACGAAAAGAGGTCAGGTTTCGACCAATAGCAGATAGATTTTAATTCTAAACAAGCCAAACGATTGGAAATGTATCTACCAATCTGCTAAAATGAACACTTAGGTAATTTTCAATAGGTCACTATTGAAAAATACCAAATGTCCAACTGTTGCAATGGTGATCAAAATTATCACCGAATGTCTGAAAACAGCGCATTCTCTAACACAGACTTAAAAATCGAATTCGATACGGTCCCACTAAACGGTGCTCATTCAATCACCGTAAGTGGTGGTGTCCAGTCCAGCAGCAACAGCAACAGCAGGATTGCTTTCAACAACAACAACAACAACAACGAAAGGCTGCCTGCATGCAGCGAGCTGCAGAGCTCATATGAGCAACCATAGAGAAGGTGGAAGAAGTCCCACCGCTAGGCTAGGATCGGAATCAGCAGCTCGTCGTGCTCAGCTCAGCATTACTCAACCATCACTACAAAACGGTCCTTTTCAGGACCACCATAAATTTGTTAAGAGTATTATTTGGACATTTGTCAAGGTCATTAGTTCCCGCAAGCAGCTAGCTATCAAGGCTCAACATGGTCTCTATATAAGGTGTGGAATTGTAGGCCCGAATGTATTGGTAAGGTAGGAAGTGTTATAAATCCAATAGAATTTGAGAGAAGTGGGAATAATTCGCTTTGGGTGTATATTCAGTCCCCAGAAAGCCAATAAAATCAAATTTGTGAGAAAATTAGTTCTCACGATTTCAATCTCTCGAAGTCCCTACTTTTTTTCATATTCTGTACAAACGATACATTCCGCCCCGCCCCATTCATATAATTCGGAAGGAAATCCTGTGAGGGGTGAATTGAATACACTTTAATACCAACATGCACAAAACTTAAAAATTCATAAATAACAAAAAATCAAAATACACCTTTTAAAGTCGGGTAGATGAATCGAAAATACTCAAGTTGACAGTCCCTTGGATTCTCTTCATCAACTTTCTCTTTGAAATAAATACTACAGATTTGATACGCTTACAAATAAAAAAACGGAAGGGTTAAGATAATTGATGATTGATCAATTAAAAGAACTAAATGCCCTTAACATTTGTTCCGTCCACTAGCGGTCCTACGTCAAGCTTCCGTTCGTGCCCCTGGGCACAGACCCTTCTACTTTTTAATTTGGAGCAAAAATCAACATTACTAAATAAACTATTAAAAGAAAAAAAAGAAAATGGTATGCTCTAATTAACATTATGTTTTTCACTCACATTTACGTATGTTCCGGGTCTTCCAGAGGACCGCTTCGCTGTCCCGTGGGTCAAGATTTTTGTCCCAGATCCAAATTTATTCATATATCAACTATTTTCAAATGAAAAACAAAACTGCCATTACACAGATAGCAACGCTTGGGTCGGTTGCTATCGCGCAGCTATATTTCTCAATTACTTTTTCAAAGGGACGTATCAGCTTTAGTAAACAATGCATTTGACCGCCGATTTGGCGTAATTGGTAGCTCGCCCACGCATGCTAACACATGGAAATTTTCCCCTACCTGCTAGTGATGTTAGTAACTTCGAAAAAGTAATCGAGATTTGTCAACTTGCTGTTCACCGATAGGCAGATTGTTATTTCCCGCACTTGAATAACAACCCCCGGTGCGGTTGCTGCGTTAAGGTGGAGGTTGCTAAAATAGCTTTAACAACTCATTGGTGCGGGTGCTCTAGAGAGACCTTTCAGATGGCGAATAGTTTTGACCATGGGGGGTATATAAATGGTGATACAGCTTTGTCACTATATAGGCGAGGAGGTCGCGGTTTTAGAGCAAATTGTAAACAAACTCGGTCGCTGTCCCATACAAAAATCCAACATGGCTGAATCGTGAATTTGACACATTAGAACACCTATATGTAGTCACCGTGGTTTTAACCAAAACTGTACTGCTCGGTTGCGCTCGTGACCACATAGAAAGCCCCGTGGTGAGTTCAGATGGTAAGTATTTTAGTCAAAAATACGCGAGTGATTTTAATTTAACAAGATGTTGTGACTTTTTCAATTGGGAGCAATCTTGACATAGTGACATAGCATTCATGCCTCTTTCGCTAAGTTCAAATCGATATAAGACTAATAGCAACAATCAATACGAAACTAACGATTTTAAATTGGCTCACCACACACGCTATGTCTGAAGGCACTTTTTTTGCAACTTTCATGTACCTCAGTTTTTTCATCACATGAAGTTAATATTGATCCTAACAATCAAATCTGTGAAGGTTTTAAAATATTTCATCTTGGGTTTTTTGAGAAAAAGTGCTTTGAAGTATAGTTAGG